GGCTTTTAATTTCTGATTTCTTTTGGAGTATTTTTCCGTGAAGCAAAAATCACGTGTTCACAGTAGGTGGATCCGTGGTAGGCACTCCAGTTCATCGACCATAGCTCCTCATCACTTCCTATCAGCTGAGTTGGTGAGCCCCTTTTCATTCGGGGTCCTTCATGGCTCATGTCATTTTGTTTCAGGACCTTGTTTTGATGTTTGTATAAGGTATAGCCGGAGCCTTGTTACCGGCAAGTACTATATTATCCCTTTTTCATCTTTAGAGGCTCCATAGACAGAAAAATGTGGGTTATGAGTCTATGTAAATATGTATTTTGTATGTTTGGGCGATGTAAGTGGTAAACAACGTTAAGGACCACGTATGTTATGTATGTTTGTAAAAAGGGTTTCAATTATAAATGGTTATTTCTCTTGGCTTAAAAGTAATGAATAAGCGGGGTAACACGTAGGACAGGAAAGGCACACAGGTCCGCTTGACTGGGGATACCTGGTCGAGCGCCGATCATGTCCCTCGGTTTTGGGGCGTGACAGTAGGAGTCCCTTTTCAGCTCTCGGATTTGGCTCTTAAGGAGTGCATTCTCCTGGGCCACTTTCTTTTTCTCTCCCTCGTCGAATGCAGCCTGGACTTCCTTTTCAAATTGAAGATCTGCGACTTGCTACTTCAGCTTGCTTATGGTGACCCTGTATTCTTCTTCTTTTGCTAACAGGTCCCAATGCCCTCGTGAGGATTCAGCGAATTTCCGAAGGTGAGGTCTTTTAGCTGGTCGTTCTGGCGCTTCTTCCTCAACCCCCTTTCGTTTGTTCCGAACCTGATAATCGGAAGAGACTTCACCCCTGGATCGGTCGAGCACTTGAGTGTTTGCTGACAAGAACTGGCATTCACTCCATATGCGTCGAGCAATCTTTTCATGGGATCGGTTTTCAACGTCGTCCTCAACTTTATAAGCACTGAGGTCTTCGTCGAGGTGTTCTACCTGACATCTCCCCAACTGTCTTAATACCCGGTAAGGAGCATAAGGCTGGATGCTTCGGAGCCCCATCAAAAGGAAGTAGAGGCCTGTGGCGGGCATATACAGAGCTTTTTCAACTGGCAACCAACCCAAGGTCCACCCTATTTGTGCAGCAGTGATGGCACAGAGATGAGATACCCAATTCTGAGACCCTTTTGGCAAATTGACCTCCGAAACCCTATCATCATATTATCCGATGCAGCTTTTCTCTGTTGTCATGTAGATCAGATGTTGAGGCTGTTGATGCAGGTGCTCGATCATCCACATCTGTAGTAACAAATTGCAACCCACGAAGAAGTCGGCCCCGGCTTTACAAGTTGTGAGGGCTCGGTAGATTTCGGACAATATCATGGGGGCAAGTGTGCTTTTGTTTTTGGTCAATAACACATTGACTACCCCGACTACTCTCAAATCAATGTTCTTGTCCTTTCTGGAAAACACCACTATACCCAGGAATGCTACCATAAATGCGAAACGCCTATGTTCTTGCCACTTCGTCAAATTCCCTTTGCTACAGACTCTGCTTTTTGGATCTTCGAATCCTGTTATGTGCCCATACCTCCAATATATGAACTTTAAGGTGGAGAAGCCTGCATCTAGCTCGGAATAAGGGACCCCCTTGCTTATTTTCATCAGGTCCATGAATTTATGAGATGTGACAGCCCTTGGAGCAATCAGATATATGTGTCTCATCCCTTCGGTGAAACCCATGTACCCTGCAATTTCCTCTAAGGTTGGAGTGAGTTCAAAATTCAAGAACTGGAACACATTACGAGCCGGGTCCCAGAATGTGACCAAGGCCTTTATGATGTCGCCTCTGGGTCTAACACTGAACAAATCAACGAGATCTCCCAAGTGTAGCCGAATTTTATCCTGCTCTGATTTTTCAAAATCTCCCCACCACAAACGCAATTCCAACGGGATCTTGCTCCTGACTTTCAATGGCAAACTTGACCCCATGTTTATTTTGCACATTTGTTGAGACGACTTTAAGCAACACACACTTTACACACCTAACTAGACTCTAACAAAACACACTTCGACCAAAGATGACAAAAATAGCTATTTATGCAAAGTTAGCCTTCTGGCGTTCCTTCTAGAAACATTTGGCTATTTTGGTAAAACGGCATCACCCGACGGATTTAAAAACTATTTTTCAAAATGGGAGCCGCCATTGCGGTTACGGCCTTTGAGAGCCTCGAGGACGAGGAATCAAGGCTGTGTGGGCTATTTTGGTCAAAATTCCAAAAATGACCAAAACGGTCGTCTTGCGCAAATTCAACCTTCCGGCGTTCCTTTCGGAAACATTCGGCTGTACTTGACAAAACGGTTTCGTCCGACTCTTTTTTTGAAGATTTTCATTATGGCTATTTTTGTAAAAGAGGAGTTGAACCCTGTGGGGGTTGCCTACGTATCCCACACCCTATGAGAATCAAACTGGCGTAGTTCGGGCAAGAAGGACTAAATTTTACAAAACACACATCTTTTTTCAAAGTATTTTCTCTTTTTCCCCCTTTTTTTTTTTTTTTGAATTTTGACAGAATGTCGACCCTATTTTTGAAAAATTAGCGGTTATCTTTAAACTGCTGAAAATGTTCCCTTTTTCTTTAAACCGGTCAGTATGCAAATCCGAACAAATGAATGCATAAATCAAACAGGATGCAGCAGGATGGTCTTTTCTGTTACAGGTTGCTATTCCTAGACGGGCCCAACCCCTGTGTTGAGCCCCCTTAGTCAAATGCAACATGATGCAAATAAGCGTTTCTTACTAGGGATCCGGCATGAAGATATGTCATACTAGGTTTCAAACCTGGGTTTTTGTTCTAGACCTGGTTTACCCGAGCGGACAACTCGGGCTGAGGAGGGGAACTGCGTCTTGGTAACCAAAGGGCTAGCCAATTTTGCAATTCCACCGAATCCCCGTTCTAAATTGGGATTATGACACTAACAGAAAGAAGTCACGACCAGCGCGCACTCCTCGGGAGGGAGAAGAGAAGGGTTCTGGCACAGTTTATATACAGTTCAAACAATATCAAAGCGGTAAGCAATTAGCATATTAAGCATAAAGCATGTGAAAATCAGATGTAGCAAAATACAACAATTCATCTAAGCTCAAATTCTGAACCCTGAACAAAACGTTCTGGGTTCTTTTCCCCGGCAGAGTCGCCAGAGCTGTCACACCTCCTTTTGGCGTGCACCCACCCCGAGAGATAAATGCGCAAGAGAGTTTTTCCAATTTAAGTGACAATGTTCGAAATGGGATTATTTAATTGATTTCAGAGTCGTCACTTGGGAAAGGTTTGGCTTTTGGTGTCCCAAGTCACCAGTTTATTTTTAATCCCATTTCGAGGAAAATATTCGACTTTCCATTTGAAGTCTGCGAACCAGAAATTCTAAGTAAGGAATTCTGTTGACCCGAGGGAAGGTGGTAGGCACCCCCCGAATCCCGTGGTTGTAGCACGGTCGCTTAAATCATCGTATTTGCTAAACATCTGATTTTATACATGTTGTAACTTATATGCTTTTATTATCATTTAAACCGCTTTATTATTATTTTTAAAAGACTTGCAACATCGTAAAAATGCATCTCGAATCATGCCACAACCAGTGTACCCGTGATTGTTGACACATCTTGACTCCGTTGAGATTTGGATTTGGGTTGCAACCAGTGCACGCCCAAGTTTAAGGAGGTATTAATTAAAACGCGTCCTAAAAGAGTCTAGCGCTTTATTACATTGGGAAGGCCGCGAAATTGGCTAAACGGCATGTCCCGAAATCTAAGCATTAAAATATGTATATTTATGAGGGCCCGCGATTTGTGATCTTATTTGGCGAAGCATGCCTCATTTTATTTTTCAAGGATTGTCCTATAATGACTACATTTTCTATTAGATGTGTCTCTAAAATAAAAGAAGAGTACCTAATTTATTTACATGCTTGAGGGTTATTGTAACTAAGCTCCGGACATGGCTCGCTAATTCTGAAAATGGCACAACAGGGGGGCTGTCCGTTAATAGTTGTGGGCCCAAGCCCAACGTGTATGAGGTGAAACTGGGCCTGGGCCATTTCTCTCTAATTTTAGGGCCTGGTTACATTATTCTACATATGTTTAGCATTTACAATGGGACTGAAATGTACATTACTGCTATCTAATTAAGCAAGACTCCTACCAATTTTAAAGCAGGCTTTTCTTTGGTTTAATGAAAGCAGCTATTGAATATTTAACCTATTTTTTTTTACACAACAATAAAATACTAACGGAATGGCTACTACCACATGTTTGGTTCTTTAAACCAACATACTGAACAATTTAATCATTTGCTATTGTTCTATATTCGGTGATACATAGCAGAATTACAACATGCTTTTAAAACAAATGAAGTTAACTGTTATATACACAACTTAAATTTCAGTAGATACAAAGGTAAAAATGTAAACTTTAGTTCTTCATTTCGTATTCATGCTTGAAACTTTCAGCTTACAAGAACCAGTGTATCGATTTGTGTACCTGGATGTCGAAATACAACAAGAAGAACTAGAGGATGGTCAGCGACAATAACAACAGCTAATCAGGAGCAACCAACCAATCGCAAACAGCAACAGAAACCTACAGTGATAAACCCAGTATAGAGTTGAAAACCACTAGAAAGAATCCAGGAAATGGAGTGGCACTTTGAACAACCAATATGCAAACTCGACAAAGTATATGAACACCCGAAAATCAGTAACAAGAGGACACCAGCAAATATTCAGCCCTTCTAACACTCTATTTTTAACACTGAACTTTCAGATATTAGAAGTCAGCCTATATCACTCTATATCTCTGAACTTTCAACATAAAAATCCAGCCCTTTCTTTGTTCTAAATCAGCCTATTTATAGGCAACGCAGGCCAACACAAGGCTGCCTTAAAACTTTCAGACTTCAAGTCTGCCCATCTCCCCTTGATCCCCATGCCTAAGAGGCATTCTTGATGGAAACTATTTGGTTCCCCATGCCTTGTCTATTGTTCTATTCAAGACTCATGGGTGTATTAAAGTATTCTTATTAAATTCCCATGCTCTTATGTTTGGTTCCCCATCAGGATTAAACTAAAGACACTTAATACAACTTGACAGACCCCTTAAGTTAATTCTGGTTAAACTCTGTAAAAACCCGAAATTACCCCCAAGCCTTAACAGTCAGTATCTAAACCCTTCTAAATTGACACTAACACTGACTACTAACACCAAATGCAGCTACAACCAATCCTTAAGTCCAGTCACAGAAAAGATTCAGAACATTTCAAACACAAAGATAAGAACAGGCAAGAAACAGAGGATGGCAAACATACTGGAGAGCAACAATGGCATATTGTCCTATTTTTCTAGCTTTCAATCCGATTAATGGACGATGCTTCTATAGTCAGCTACAAAGTTTGATATGTACAACAAACAACAATCAGAATCAAATAGACACACACGCGACTCCGAGGTTTCGACAAAACAAAGAGTGAACTGATTAATCGACAAAAACTATTCAGATCGATTCACATAGTTTGCTTAAACGAACAGAAAAAATGACCAAAGAAAAGGTCGGATTAGAAGAATAATAAGAACTTATAACAACAAAACAAAAAATTAATACGACAAATGAAGTTGTAACAACACAAAAAAAAATGGAACAAATAACCAGAGAGGAAATAGAAACCTCCCGAAAAAATTAAAAACAACACAAAACTCGAACTAGGTTACATGTTCATTTTTGGACAAAGCTCGAGCGGACTGAGTGTGAGGATGTAACGGACAAAATCAAGTTGGTCGTTTAGCTGCTGCTTCGAACTGGAATGGGGACTGAGGAACATCATCGTTCATGGTCGTTCGTCGTCCATGTGTGTGACGAGCTCGTCGTCCATGGTTGTCGAGGAAGAAGCAGCGCTGGATAAGAAAACGTTGGTTATAGCTTGTCATACATGGCTGTTCTTGACAACGTACTGGAGAAGATGATGTGCTGGAGAAGAGGCAACGCAGAACAGTCGACTGCCATAGCAGTCACTACTGGAGAAGAAACAACGTCATAGGTCGTCGACTGCCATAACCGTTGCTGCTGGAGAAGAAGCAACGCAGCAGGTCGCTGCTCGCCGGTCGTTCATCGTCGTTCGCAGGAGGGAGTTCGACGGACATGGCTGGATTGAGAAGACGACTGGCGGACGCTCAATGGCTGAACGGAGGAGATGACTGCAGTGTAACGGGTTTAGGGTTTGGTAAGGAGGAAGAGGATGATGATATTAGGTGTGGTCTTGCAAATGAAATGAGAAAAACGGCTGATGAAGTTAAGGTAGGGTTTGGGAATTTGGGTTGTGGAATGGGTCGGGTCAAGGGTATGGGTCGTGGACTGGGTTAAGGGGAGTGAGGTGTTTGGATTGGGCTGAAATGTTATTTAAAACTTGGCCACTTTTCCTTTTCTTTTCACTTATTAAACTAAAGTCCCTCTTTGCACACATGGCCATATTGGCCTTTACACGAACTATACAATTTCACACACCTAAATTAAACACAAAATACACTAACAAACAATTAACACATGAAATCAATGCAATTAAATGACATTAATAACACTAATTGCATTTTTAGCCAAAATTAACCGAACTCGCGTACTTTCGCAATTTCCTTTCGATCAACTTGTGATTAATCAAAGCGTACGATCGACTTCTAATGAATGCAACACGTTATTTTCATTTAATCACATTGATGGTGAGCATTTACGGACCACAAACTTATCAAAAATGTCCGTAAGCTTTCAAAATTGCACCAGAGGGTGACTTGGCTTTTAATTTTTGATTTCTTTTAGAGTATTTTCCGTAAAACAAAAATTACGTGTTCACAAAGTATATTGACTGATGATTGAGAACTTGTACCAAGATTCATCAGCTTAGGGAATAGTATTAATTTTTATTTTATCACACAAATATAATATTTTAATATATTATTTATATAATATTTTTCTAAAAAATATTATTGAGATAGTTTATACGCGTGAAATGCTTATTATAAGACTAGTATTAAAGAAAAGGATGAATATTCTATTTGAAAGGAGCATTTTAATTCTCACTCTTTCCTTGTTTACATATATTGGAAATTGTCATTAGTTTGATCACACAAAGTACCATTACTAACTCAAATACTCAAATATACTACTTGAGGGGAAATTAACGGGAAAAAAAAACTTCAGGAGCCTAATTGCAGCATCACTCAAACTTTATGAACTTAAAAGTTAAATGCAATTTGCTTACAGGTCAAAGGTTTTCCTATTTATAAAGACCACAACCTTCATTTTACGATCGCACCTCAACAAGTCATAGGAGCTAACTATTTTCAGACAGCCGGAGAAGATGGAGAAAACGACGCCGTTAGAAGTACCGAGAATTAAGCTTGGTTCACAGGGACTAGAAGTTTCCAGAATCGGGCTGGGTTGTATGAGTATGTCCGGCAACTACGGCCCGCCCAAGCCCGAGCCCGAAATGATCAAAGTACTCCACCACGCCATTGATACTGGAGTCACTTTCCTCGATACTTCTGATATCTATGGGCCTCTCACCAATGAAATCCTCATCGGCAAGGTGATAAAAACTTTTTTTAAAAATATTTATCCCTAATGCTGCATATATTAGTTGTACTTTATGCTGAGTTTGTTGTACGTTTTGTGTTGTTATAGATGTTATGGTCTTTTAATTGTTCGCTAAGCAAAATGACATCTTTTCCTTGATAATGGTGGTATGTTGAAGCTTCTTTATACATACAGAAGCTGCATACATTAGTTTTGTACTTCCTGCTTACCTTGTTGTATCTTTGTGTTGCTGTAGTAGCAGTTATGGTATTTTAATTGTTCACTAAGCAAAGATGAAGTCTTACGGTAATTCTCTTAATTCTCAGGCTATATTGAAAAAAGAGTGATCTTAAGTTTGTTTTTTTCCTTACTAAATTTTAAATGAAATTTATTCACTAATTCTCTTGAAAAGTATGGAACTTTTGTGTTAAATTTATGAGGAATATTTTGCATTCTGGATTTCTCTTTAGACTTTAAATTAATATTAGCAGTTTTAGATATTTTGACCTTAGAGTATGTAAAAATATCCTCTCCTTTTCTTTTATGACCGTGGTGTTTGGCCAGCTTTGTGCACCTTGACTATTCCATCGGATACCAGCTAGTAACTTTTTACCTCCACTGAGATTTGAACCTGATACCTCATGATTGCTCTTCTTTTGCCTGCTTACATTTGTCCTCATATGTCTATGCTTTATGTATGCTGACAGAGTTTTATAGGTATGTTCATGTTAAAGTACCCAACTGTGTGTAGGCTATTAAAGGAATGAGAGAGAAAGTACAAATAGCTACCAAGTTTGGTATATCTTTCGAAGATGGGAAAAGGGGCATTTGTGGCGAACCTGCATATGTAAGGGCTTGTTGTGAGGCCAGCTTGAAGAGACTGGACATCGACTGCATTGATCTGTATTATATTCATCGGATCGATACTCAGCTGCCAATTGAAGTCACGGTATGACATCTTTGCTCCAAAGTTTTGTTTCTGACTTTTTGCAGTGTATTTAATCACTTTTAGCAAGTAATCAAATCAAATGATTTGTATGATGAGGTGCTTGTTATTTTAATTATGGTTTTAGGCAGAATGCCTTGGTCATTCCTTGATCACTTCATATAGAGGATGAATCGACAAATTGGTGCATTCTTATATTTTATTGGGTTGAGAAGATCCGATTGTTGTTAAAGAAACACTGTAATTATTTTCACGATTTATAAAATACATTCATGATTATACTAGTCACATATTCATGAAGATTTTGGGGTGCTACCATTATTCATCCACTAGATATTTCGATTAGATTTTTATTAGATTAATAGCAAGCATAAAAGCCATGGGAAATGTTGAAAGGGACAAGGTAGACCTATTATCAAGAGGAAGGAAGCTGTATTGAACAGCTTACAATCCCTTGAAATCCATATGCATTTGACAAAGAATAGAACACATGGAAGGAAAAGATCTGCATTGACAATACCAACTAGTTAGGGAACCCTCGGGGGTTGGCCTGGTGGCAATTGACTTGAGTCTTGAGGTTTGCTTCCTTTCAAGGTCTCAAGTTCAAAACTCACTGGTTGTAAACAATTTCTGAGGGCCATCGGATTGGGTAAAACCTGAATTAACCGTGGTGCACTTGCAGGAAACTCCTTACCGAGGGCCTGTGCACCCCCGTGATTAGTCGGGGCTCGAAGAGACTCGGACACCCGGTGCAAATTAAAAAAAAAAATACCAACTAGTTAGGGAAATGTTTGGTCATGGTACACTCATATTACTTATTATGGGGTACACTTACCTTAGGTGTCAGTTTTGTCAGGATTCTTGCATGTTTGCTCATGGCACGTCTGCAGATTTCCGAGGACATGGCCCCAGTGTTATCAAAGGCGCGCTTAAAGCGCGCTTAAGCCCTGAAGCGAGGCGCAAAACACGTTGAGCGCTTCGCCTCGCTTTATGTGCGCTTTAGTATTTCATCAAGGCTCTACGGCATACTTTTTCTTGCCAATGAGTATAATCCTGTAAAAGTGACATTAAACAATTGATATTTTGCTTTTTTCGTAATTCTTTTCCAATTTTTTTGTCTGTATATTTGTTATTCATGCTTGTAATTATTAGTGTTGGACTACTTATACATATTTTTACTTTTTCTCCCGTTGCGCATTTTTTCATTAAAGCCCACGCTTTATTTGCGCTTAAAGCCCCAACGGACCTTAGAGCCTTTTTGCGCTTTTCGCCTTTGATAACACTGCATGGCCCTTGATAGGAAGGCATGGAGGTCAAGCATTAGAGTTGTAGGTTAGGGGTAGTGGTGCCTCCCTTTCTGTATACCGGGGGTGAGGCGAGGTTGGTTTAGGGTTGACCTTCGATGGCTTGTAGTTTATGTTGAACTCACTCTTTCCTTTAGTTTTATCTTAGATGCCTTTGACTCTGACGAATACTACTGCATGTTATTTCATCTTCTGTTGTTTTATATGCTGCTGTTACTATATTGGTTTTTACCGGACTTACTAATGATTTCTTTTTTTCTTTTTTTTCTTATTCCCCTTGCTCTCTTCTATCTCTGTCGCTCTGAGCCGAGGGTCTATCGGAAACAACCTCTCTGTCCCTATCAAGGCAGGGGTAAGGTCTGCATACACTTTACCCTCCCCAGACCCACTATGTGGGATTTTACTGGGTAGTTGTTGTTGTTGTTGTCTTGCATGTTTGCTCAGAGATTTCTATATCATTAGAAAGTGTAGAGAACTCCTATTTTGTCTTCAAAAACAAAATATGATTTTTGGAGTGAAGTTGGTCCAAATGGAGCGGAACTATTTACAATTCATGTGGCTGACTCCAACTAGTTTGAGTTTAGGCATAACTGTTGTTTTTGTTGTGGTTGATTGTTTAATTGCAAACATGAAGTCTGGCCAAGGGAGTAAATGGAATCGGAGGAGCCAAAACATGTTTCACCTTGGCTGACCGAAGAAAAGTCATAAGAATAAAGAATGCAAAACCTCAATGCTGAACTTTAGGATGTGATATAATCTGATTGATATGGGAAAGCATAATAGATTTTTTAGTTGCTGTTTGGAAACTCTTTGGAAGAACTCTATCTGATGAAGGATTGTCACAAACTCATTGTAGATTGTTGAATCCCATGTTACCACTGGTAACTTCCTGAGATGAGTTAGTGTCCTGTTGCCACCCCAAGAAGGGGGACTTACCAAGAACAAGTTGTTGGAACGAATGAATTGGACGCTCGGATTTTATCTTAGGGTGACCAACTCTGCCTGAAGAATTACTCAAGTTAGGTAGCTCAAAGCTTGCTCTAGCAACAAGTTCAAGTACTTGAACTCCACCTGGTCTTCGCAAAAGCGGCTAGAATCTTGAAATGATTATTCCCTATAAAATCTATTCTAGGAGTTGTCTCCTCTAAAGTTTCCCTATATGCAGATGTGCTTCTAAATAGAGGGAATATAGGATCCGCTAAAGCTGAATGAAGACCATTAGGACCTTTGTGTGTCTACTCCTTCCTACTAGCGTCTTTTTACTCTCTTAGGTACCGGGCTTAGTCAAGCACAAAGGTAAAAATTGCTCGGGTCACTTCCACTTTTTGGTTTACATTCAACACCACTCATCCCAGGAAGGTTCAATGTACATTACCTGAATAAAAAAGCGGTACCCCACATATTGAGGAAGCTCTTCCTACTTACTAATCTAAACAGATTACTGGCCTTTTCGTTCTTACTGCAAATAGATTTGTAGTCCTTATTGCAGATTTACCTTGCACAGTCTAACAATTAACATCAGATAAATCCTGTTTTGTTGGTCATAGACTATAGAGTCAACATTTGTCCACGTTTGCCTTCCAAAAATACTAAGATGGCTCTGTTGGTAACTGCGTGCTTGTTTTATGTGATACTTCTTCTGAGTAGGGGTGTGCATTCGAATCGATTTATCGATAAATCGAATCGATTATTTGTCATCGTTTATCAATAAATCGAAATCGAAAAAATCGAAACCTTATTGAAACGATAATTATAAGCATATGTACAAATCGATAATCGATAAGTAATTATCGATAAAAGTCAAAATCGAATCGATAAATCGAATGCACACTTGTAATTATTTCGTCTACCACATTTAAGGAATGATCATATTTAAAACTCAAGGGAATAAAGTTCAAATTAATAGAAAATAGAATTAGCAGTGATGATGCATTTTTATTTTTTAATACCGTTGGAGTGTTGGTGGCATATATTTGATCTCTTACTTTAGTTTGTTGCATGTGCATGTTGACACAATTTTTATGTTATAAACGGTGTTCGTCTTATTTTAGCTTCTTTTTATCCATATTAGTTAGGCGTGTTTATAGCGATATTCTTTCCATGGAATCCCACAAATTTTCTTATTAGTGTAATCGATAACCGAATCAATAAGCCCCAAAAATCGATAAATCAAAATCGAAAAAATCGAAACCTTATTGAAACGATAACGATAAGCATATGTACAAATCGATAATCGATAAGTAATTATCGATAAGGGTCATAATCGAATCGATAAATCGAATGCACACCCCTACTTCTGAGGTTTATGCTACTCTTTCATTTTGGCTTCTTTTTGTTTTACGAACTTTTTCTTTAAACTCGTACGAATTTCATCAATTTGTGATAAACTCTTTCACAGCAAGTCATTTCTGAAATACTTATACCTGGAATTTCAAGACTCAGGTTATCCCAACATTTTTGAAGTTTATACCTAGTTAAATAAGTAGTGTCATTTCATAAAATAATTTCTAGGTTTATCATTTTGGCATCCGTATCCTGTGATTTAAGCCTGTGCTATCATTTCCATATTTACCAATTATTATATATGTTCTAATACTGGTTGCATTTTGTTGTAAGATGAGAGAACTGAAAAAGCTCGTTGAAGAGGGTAAAATCAAATATATAGGTCTATCAGAGGCTTGTGCATCTACAATCAGAAGGGCCCATGCTGTTCATCCAATAACAGCTGTTCAGATGGAATGGTCTTTGTGGACTAGGGATCTAGAGGAAGTAGTTGTTCCTACTTGCAGGTGACGTATCTCTTAGGTCAATCCCCTTGCATCAAATTACTAGCAAATCAGTGTCTGTTCTGATACTTATCATGTTCAGAGAACTTGGCATAGGGATCGTCCCTTATAGTCCTCTTGGACGAGGATTCTTCTCAGCAGGCGCAAAATTGATTGAAAACTTGTCTGAAGATGACTTTCGCAAGGTTAGACCACATAAATTATTGTCCTATAATATCATGTAAACTGTTGACTGCTTTTGCCTTATCTGTTCACGTAGGCATTGTTACATTGTCTTTACAAAGTTGAATAGTTGTAGTGGGCTTCTTTAACTCCAAGCTTTCCATTGAAGAAATTGACTTGAGCATCAACTTGATGATTGTAGTTGCATTTAATATAGTATCTTCTTATCTTTTTGTGCCTTTTTAAGGAGATTCTCAAACTGCTCCGTGAGGGTAAAGCCTTTGGCAAACCATGCCCATAAAATCTCTTGACCTTACAGCACCTTTCAGTTATGGTGATTGGTGACCATGCCAGCGCTGAATAGTTGTTAACATACAGAGTACTAGGCAAATCTTCAAGGAAATTTCTATGGATAGCTTCTCTAGGAATAGCTTAGTGTAATGCTCCTAAACTTTCAACTCGCCCTTTCTTGAAGATGTCTTGAAATGCAACTGGTTTGGCACGCCACCACCTGTTCTTGCTCCTTGAAGTAATGTAGCCAGTTTTGTATAATTTTGTCGGTGAGGCTTCACATAGTCGATCTCAACTTGTTTGGGATTGAGGAATAGTAGTTGTTGAATGTTGCATCAATGAATTGCTTCAAATCTATTTCGACTGCACTGTTAATTTATTATTTTACTTGCGTGTTTGCTTTCTAGAATTTCCCTAGGTTCAGGCCGGAAAATTTTGAGCTTAACAAGCAAGTATTTGAGAAACTGAATCTTATGGCTGCAAGAAAAGGATGCACTCCTTCACAACTTGCATTGGCTTGGGTTCTTCACCAAGGAGATGATGTATGCCCTATACCAGGCACTACTAAGATTGAGAACTTCAACGAAAACGTTGGGGCGTTATCTGTAAGGTTGACTGCAGAAGACATGAAAGAGCTCGAGTCTTATGCCTCTGTTGTCATAGGCGAAAGACATTTGTACATGGCATCAACTTGGATGAATTCAGAGACTCCGCCATTGTCCTCCTGGAAAGCTGAGTAGGGGTACAACAGGTGACATCTATTGGCTTTGGTAGGATTCTGGACACACATGCACTGCATATATTTTACGGAAACTTGCCTATTACCAACGCCTTTATGCTCCATGATATATTCGAAAAATTTGCTTAGATCTCGTCGTTCAATAATGTGGGAAGCTTATAACGCCTTTTTCTGATTCCGGACATAGTTGCTCAATCTGAGATCATGAGATTATATGGGAGAATATACATGTGTATGTGACTCTGTATATGTATACACGTGTATGTATACATGTGTATGTGACTCTGTATACGTATTAATCATAGCAAAATAAACATTAAAGCAACTTATCACTTCCCGTAGTCCTTTTGATAGATTGCTTCTGCTTGGAGAAATCTGTGTTGACCTTTAGACCCGTCTACAAAATGGGGCTAGTCTTCCGTCTTTGATTTGTTCCACCTCTTTGCCACCTCTTCATAGGGTGATGACACCAGTAGCTCTCTTTAGGCGGCATCCGCCAAGATAAATTACCCAGCTTGCAGTGCCCCGCCTCCCCCGAATGATCGGTGTCGGGATAGGTTGTGTGTCGCAATCTCCCAGGCCAAACCCTTACTACAGTGCCCAGTCATTTTGTGTCGCAATCTCCCGGGCTAAACCCTTACTACAGAGGCGCTTACCTTAGATATGGTGTTAATGCTAGTGATATTGGTTACACAAACCAAAACACAGGAATTAGAAAAGATACAAGTACTTCAATGATCTTTGTAAAACTCGCAGACCAAAGGAATTATGAAAAACCATCAGTACCCAACGATCTTTGTACTGGCAATTTAACCGATAAATGTTACTCTAAGAAGGGAAAAAACCAAAATGCAAACAAAACAAGAAAAGCCAATATCACACAACCAACTGTGATACATAGTAGAACTAGTTTGCAACTTTGCATAGCTATACACTATTAGTTCAAGCGTCTGATTACAAAAAACAAAAGCATGCATTTATTCTTTATCCACTTATATTATCTACATAAGGCTATATATATAGTGCTACCATAAAAGTTTTAAACAAAAACTCTAGGAACAGATTCCACAGGCTTGCAATCAACTTCTCTTAGCACAGTTTGAATCCCTTTACCTCCTGCATTTGCAAGTGGATGTATTCCATGAGCTGGTCCTTCCATATTTGCCCTCTTCTCTTTTTCTTCAGCAAATGATACTCCGTAACGTTTCTCCACATCTGTACATCATGTTTTAATTCACAACACGAGAGATTTAAGAAAGTGTTATTCTAGTCTAGAACAACAACAACTACTACTACTACCCAGTATCGTCCCACAAGGTGGGTCTGGGAGGGTGGGGAGGGTAATATGTAGAACAACAAAGGAAAAATCAACATTTTCGCTTCAATGAGGTTTTTCACTTGAACGAAGAAAAATCACAATAAACCCATAACTACGTTCAATTTCTAAGCAACACTGATTTCTCAAATGTTGAACAACATTCTTATAATGGGCTTTTTTCACTTTTAGCTTGAACCAGGTAGGGGTGTTCAAACCGAACCGGAAAATCGCACCAAACCGAAAATTCAAACCAAACCGGTTAAAAAACCTGACTAGGTTTGGTTTGACTTGGTTTGGTATTGAGTAAAAAAACCCAAACCAAACCGACATATAAATATATAAATTTTATTTATTTATTTAAGACTTTATAGTGAATTTTCTTTAGAAAATGTAGAAATATTTGGGATCCTCTCATGTATTAACCTTGAAAGATTAAATTAACAAAAAATTATTATTAGACGATTAACAAAATAACTATCATGTGTTACTAAAAAAATTCTCCTATTAAAATATTTTAATAGATCATATGTTTGTCACTTTTTTTTCCATATTTACTAAACATGTATTCCCTTATCAAAGCTTTAAGCTTTATCTATAATTTTAACAAAGTAAGATCATGTAACAAAAAAACCCGAAAACCCGACAAACCCGAACCAATCCTAACCGATATAGTTGATTTGGTTTGGTTTTGATAAAAATCGAACCAACCCGATCCACGTACACCCCTAGAACTAGAAAATACATAGATACAAAAAAAGCAGGCAGCAGTATACAGTTATACAGTGACATTTTCCCTTATCCAATCATCAAGAAGCTTAGTTTGTGCCATCCAGAGACAAGGTAACTACGGTGTACTACGTAAAAATTATTTATAAGGTAATTGTTCGATAAGTATCTACTAGAAAATATTAGGACTTGACAACCTAGAAAAAAGATAACTATATAACAAGAATATAACTACATATAATAAAGACTACTCGACCCACCATGACATGTTAAAATAATGTATCATCGAATATAACTAAAACCCATCTTAATTCAGTTTTATACTAGCTAGTATAGTTTATAGTTACAAAAAAACAACAACAACAACAACAACTACCCTGTAAAATCCCAATAAAATCCCACATAGTGAGGTTTAGGGAGGGTAATGTGTACGCAGACTTTACCTTTGCCCGATAGGACAGAAATGCTGTTCCCCGATAAAATCCCACATAATGGGGTCTGGGGAGGGTAATGTGTACTGTTTCCCGATAGGGAAGAGAGGCTGTTTCCCGATAGGGAAGAGAGGCTGTTTCCCGATAGGGAAGAGAGGCTGTTTCCCGATAGACTCTTAGCTCTCAGAAGGACTAGTTAGTAGTTACCTAGCTATAATTAAATGAAATTTTCCTTACCTTGAGCAAGATTGTCATAGAGCTGGCCATCTCTAGTGAGTGCCATCATAACTTGAGGAATTCCTAGGGGAAGTGTGTCACCTCTATCTACCTGCCAGAAATGGATGACCTTGCCATAGGTTTTAGCAACTTTTTCGAGATCTTGTCGTTGAATTGGACCAGGAACGCCAGGCATGAATAGGACACCACTTTTCACCTCGAACTCATGGGAATGCCAGAATTTTTTTTCATCATCTGGTAATGTTAAGAATAGTTCTTCTGAGACAATGTACTCGAGCCCAATCAGCCTGCCATCAGCGTCTGGCCTGTCGTAAATGAGACACTGTCTAAATTCTTCGTTTTGGTGACCGCAGAAGTGGTGCGCCTCGACTTGTCGAGTCATGTCATGTCCATAGAAATGGAACCTGAAAATAGAGACGCGTATAGTACAGATTAACCAAGAAACTTGAAATTCAACACACAAATTCTACAGCATGTACAGCAATTAAAACAAAGTTCTGACTTCAAAAAAATAAAAACAGTCCACAATATGTTAATTAAGCATTAGTTAACTATTACATCCTAGAAGGTAGATCCTTCCTCATCCCCCACAACGGCCCAAAAAAAGAGAACAAGAATTTTTCTAAGATGTAGTTAAAAAGATGATCACAAAATACTCCAGATGATTCCAATTTGCATGACACTAATACGACTTAGAACATCAATAGAGTTCTCAACATTTTTGGAAATAATTCCTAAACATTTTAAATTGAAATGAATTTTAAATATTCTAAATTATTAACTATGGCCACTAATATTAGGTTTTGCGTAATTACCTAAATATGTCTATGTTCAAATTGTAATACCTAAATATGTCTATGTTCAAATTCTCTCTATAAAATAACTTAACAGCTTTTACTTAGAACCTATATTTAGATTAAAGAATTTATTAAATACGTATAAATATTTAATAACGAACCTATTAACTAAACTATAGGTTCGACGAATCACCACCCATAATATAATCTGGCCTATGTAAAAGAAAGTGATTAAGAGAAATATTAGAGATTGAAAGGAAATCTAACGCGCAAAGGTGCTGATGAATCTTGTTGATAGGACCAAAGCCTTGAATAGTAGCAGTTGCTGTTTCAAGAATTGCTGTTCCTGTCTTCGTTGGTTCACCTGGAACTTCTGGATGGGTTGGTACATGTTTACCTTCCATTTTTACTTTCTATTTTTTGCTGAAAAAACCTAAAATGAAGTGAAATATAGTAATAATTCTTCTGTTTTGCTGATTTCTTGATTTTGGCCGAGAAGAAGAGGCCTATAGATAGGAAGATGAGTTGCATGCAGACTTACACGTGGCAATATACGTGGCAAAAGAGCCTGTGTTTTTGCTTGATTTCGTTTTCTAACGTGGGAGTTTTAGGGGCATTTGTCTGGATAAATATTGATAGCCAAATTAGGTGGCTCTTCCTAATTCTGACTTGTTCTACAACTACAATTGTGACAAAAGCTTATAACTTCAGGTTTCTTCCTTTGAGAAAATTCAACAAATTTCAGACCGATCAAATTAGTGGTGAAAATAGTAAGGGCCAGCTATTTCGGATTAGTAATTGAAGAATAGTCCGCGTTTATAAAATTATTGAAAATAATTATTATTTTGGTGTAATACGGAAAGTTCTAACATAATATACTGGAAATTGGTGCTCCTTTGTATGAACTTCCGGCACACGAAAAATTTCAGCATAATATACTAGAGCACATGTGTATGAACTTTCCAGCATAATATGTTGGAATATATATATATATTTGGCCAAAAGTACTTTCGGGCAAAAAAAACACTTTTGACCCAAAAAGTGAAAAACTTTGCCAAACAGGCTATTAGCCATATTCCCATTTATTGATACTTGTGTGGCCAGAAATTTTTGGAACAAGAAAATACTATGCACTTGTAACACAAGATATAACAGCGACTAATCTGATAATAATTAATAAACGGTCAATCGAAAATTACTTAGGCGATCAAAAATAATACATAAATAATTTTTAGGTAACACATAAGTGATATATTATTACATCATGTCACGTTATAAAAATAATAATCATGGTAATAAGTAATAAGCGATCAATCAAAGATCACTTAGGACGATCACAAATGATACACCAACAATTGTTAGATAACACATAGGCATTCTATGATTTTACCAGTATCTCCGTCCCATTTTATAAAAAAATGATTATGATAATAAAGAATAAGCGATCAATCAGATATCACACTTAGGTGGTTCATAAATGTACATGTGCAATTTTTAGGTAACACATAGGCAATTTATATTTTTTCTAAGATCTCTCACTCATAAAAAAAACTATCCTAATAATAATAATAATTAATATATGTGATCAATCACTTAGGCAATCATACATAAAACATAATATGTTATAGTTCAATTTGTTCTATTACTGATAAGCCTATAAACAAATATAAATAAAAGATTAATTAGGAAACGTAGGTTTAAAAGAATGTCACGATATATTCAGTTACGATGCCTAACCTATATGACAAGTACACATTTTAACTGTTTTTTTTTTTTTGGCACTAACTTTTTCCTTACATCAAATTATAGAATTTGAAACAGATAGATTTAGCAGCTGCATATAATATATGATCCTTAACGCATTTCCAACTGAAAAAATAAATAAGACAAATAGCTATATAGCTAATAACGTGACTCCAAAGCAAAGTTTGCATGAAAATCAAACCCTTGCATTTCACGTGAATCTCTCAAACGATTCTTATATTAGTATTAAATACAAAACTTAGTCTCTCAAATACACACACAACAAGAAAAAAAGAAATTTTATTCCCAAAAATTATCATCAAATGAATTCTCAAGAAATCCAACAATCTTCAAATTCTACACAAATCCAAAATGTTGAGATATCAATACAAAACCTCATCAAAATCTGGGATAAAAGGCAAAAATGGCATTTCTTTGTCATGAATCCAAAACAAGAACCAACAAAACAACAATGGAGAACAAATTTAACCAAGTTTTTAGAATCTATACCTGTTAGACTTTTCACTATTGTCTTGCTTATAATCGACCTCGTTTTCACAAGTCTTGAGCTCTCTTCTTCTTTGATTTCCTGCCCTAAAAATGAGAACACAAAAAATCAAGAAAAACAAGAGGTTTGGTACCATTGGGCAGGTATGATTACATAGTTTGTACTCCATCTTTTTCAAAAAGAATGAACATATTACTATTTTGTGGAGTTAAATAAGGTTTTCTTTTACTACCATTTTTTAGAAAAGGACTAAATATACTACTCTACTTTTGAATATTGTCTACATTTAACTTTCATTATACTATCCAGTCAAATAATTATCCCTATCGTTATACTATCAGGTCAAATTAAATTTACCTCTACCATTAGGAAACTTTTAAAATTATCTCTTGATCTGTTAGGTAATCCAAAATCTCTAAATTTTCTTTTATTTAAATTACTTGTTGTTCGAAAGTAGAGGGGTAAAATATAATAGTTTTTTAATATTTTTAAATTGTTAAGTAGTAACTTAAATACTTTTTATGTAGTTTCTAAATATGTAAATTTATTTTAAAAAGCTTAAAGAATTTATGTTTGGATTCAAACTAAAATTAGTGTTTGACCTACGTAATTCGAATAATCTGAATTATGAAAAGGTTCAAACAAATTGAAACAGAGGGAATAATATATATGAAGTGAGGATTGTCCCATATCAGAAGGCAAAATATTGAGTTAAGTTCCATATGTATAAACGAACATGTCTATACATGATAATGGTAAATATATTGCGAAAAGCTTCGTAAAACTCTATAAATTCAGCCGCCTTTTATGAGAAGTCACCTAAGTCAATTTGTATTTTGTAGTATACTTTGTTATTTCCTGAAAAAAATTGTTTATTTTTTCCTACTTGTAAATAATATACATGCAATATTTGCTTTAAGAATTGTGTTTTTTCACGCTTCAAAGCCTTATTTTAATTCATCTTTCTATTTTCGAACAGGAATAATTATCTTGGGATTGTTATTTCTGAAAAGTATAGGCCTTGTTATAGGTCTAGGACGATCGTTTTTTCGAAGACCGGGGTACTTGCTAGATAGCATAGTGGTAGTGGTCGCATTATTTTTGGAAGTTTATTTGGAAAAAAAAGGTGGAGGATTACTTGTTGTTGTTAGCCTATGGAGAATTGTTAGGGTTGTGGAAAGTGCATTTGAGTTAAGTGATGAGGCAATTGAAGCACAAATTGAAGAGATTGTTTGCCAATTTGAAGAATTGAAAGAAGAGAATAGAAGATTAATGGATTGTGTAGTTGAAAAAAGTAAGGAAATTGAAAAGCTTGAAGAAGAATTGAATCAGTATAAAAATCAGGACAAAGAATCAAAGGACTAGATTATTTTATCTTGTTATTAGACATTTTCTTCTAATTTATTTTGTGATTTTCCCTAGTTCAATTTGATGTATAAATAAGTAAATGGAAGATCTTACAAATTGCTCGTGATATAAGAAGATAAGAAGAAAATTTGGTTCCCCAAACTCTAGACTAATGATCAAAGAGAATCAAACAACTCTGTTTACCTCGAAAATACGAGTAACAATTAAATTTGTTTGTGATTTTAAAGATATGTGATTCAATCCAATACTAATTAATAAACAAGGTAAGGAATCTAATATATAAATTTAAGAGTAAGGCAAGTCAAATCAATTGTGTAGACAGACTTCGACCTCGAACAAAGGCGACCTCGAGGTAAATGAGCAAGAACAATAAAATAATAATACGATGATTCAGATGAGCAGTAGGCAGAAAAGTAAGAGAGTATATTCTATGCTAATGATTGATGATCTTTACAAATGATTAGGGTCCCCTTTATATAGTAGGGGAACCCTAAATAAGATATATTTCTATTTACAGTAAAGAATCTTATTGGGACAGCTGTCTAACCACCTAGTACGGATTTGTACTAGGTCATACGAATCAATTCCGAAATTTACGCCATGATTGTGGAGATGTGGCGAGAATTTTGTCCTTCTGTAACAATCCAGTAACGGCTTCATCTCGGGGTTGGTCATACTCGGCTTCGGTGCTCGTCGAGCACTTCGATCTTCAAAGCTTGCCATCAGGCTCGTGTCTGGTCTATTTCGATATCTCTTGAAGAGACCCTCGAGCCAATGAAATCGGGTAGCTCCGATTTCTATCGTATATGTCACGCCCCGATTCTGGGCCTGGACGTAACACAACGCTCGGTGTCTGACTACATGTGACCGAGCAAACCAACTGGCTAGCTGAATCAACATGTAATATCATAACATACTGAATATGGAAGATAAACTAACACATGATGATATACTGAAAGTCTGGATGATATAAATCAAAGTGCGAAAATGCTAATACAATTCTGAAACATATTTGCAGCCAACATGGCTTAACATGAAAAGTCTGAGACTCTGTCTAACTGTTACTCTAGTCTATGAAGCCTCTATTGAAGTACTGAAAACACTAACTCTCTATAAATACTGAAAGGCTGTAAAGTAATGATAATGCCCCGAAAGAACTTGGGATCACCAAATAGCTGGTACGAGAATCCTAGCGCTCTGCATCGTCGACCTGTAAATCATTATCTACATTGTGAGATGCAGGCCCCGGGCAAAAGGGAAGTCAGTACATTTGAATTGTACTGGTATGTAAAGCAACTGAAAGAAAGAATTATAAATGCTGAAACTAAAATTAAGCTGATAACTGAGAAGTTATAATTTATAACTGAAATAATGATTATTGAAACTGAAGCTGAAATTATAACTGATAATCGATATCAGAACTGGTAACTGGTAACTGAACTGATAACTGGGAATTAATTGATAACTGGTAACTGATATGATAACTGACAACTGAACGGTAACTAATAATTGAACTGAAAGGAAGTAAGCATATGAATACTCCATCTTCTGAAGGATGAACAACCTATTTATCTGAATATCAAACTGCAGCATCTGGCCCAATATATATATGGGCACAAACTTCAGCATCGGGTCCAAGTATACGTATACATAACTGCGACCTCAGGTCAAAATTGGATAAATCATAAACTGCGGCCTTAGGCCTAACGATGCATAAAGCATAAACTATGGCCTCGGACCCAAATACAACTGTTCAACATTCAGGGATTAAAAATCAGGAACTGAGAATCATACTGCAATATATGATAATGAAATACTGAGTCATACTGAGTTACATAATACTGGAATACTAAATAGGACTAGATTGGGACATGTATTCTTGAACTGATTATGAACACTGAAAACTTCAACTATTTATGACATGCTGAGTAAGCTATAGTCTATACTGAGACTTAGGGACATCAAGTCCATGTCTATATTGATTGCAAATTGAGTTCACAACGTTCAGAATGAAAGTCATGAACGAGTTATGAAGCTAGGGAATAGAAGTTCTACAACTATTCAAGGAACTAGGCTTAACTATATTTCTAAGGCAATTGATGTGTCGTAGAAGAAACGTAGTGTAGGGAGAATCATTAAAATTTCCAAACATAGAGAGTTAGCCTCATATACCTTAACCTCCTTCTCTTGAGCATAATACCACAATAGCCAACCCTTTCAACTTTAATCTATATCAATACAATTCAAAGGGATTCCAAATTAGCAACAACATCCATGTTTTTGTTACTTGGACATTTTATCAAATATTTGGTGAGTATAAATCTTTATAATCCCTATTAATGGTGTTTCTACACCCAATAACCGATTCTCTTGCTCTTGGATAAATTTTAAAGTCTCAAATGGGTATTCAATATTATTCTTCATCGCCCATAAGGTAAACAACACCCTTAACCAATAAAGTTCCATTAAATAAATATCTTTCAAATGCGGGAAGCAAGGCTCAGGTGGTTTGGGCACGTTCAAAGAAGAAGCCCAAATGCTCCGGTAAGAAGGTGCGAATGACTGGTTGTGGAGGGCTCGAGAAGAGGTAGAGGGCGGCCCAAGAAGTATTGGGGGGAGGTGATTAGGCAGGATATGGCGATACTTCAGATTTTCGAGGACATGGCACTTGATAGGAACATTTGGAGGTCGAATATTAGGGTTATAGGATAGGAGGTTGTTGAGGTTTGCCTTATGCATAACTTTGGGAGACTAGTTTGGTAGGGATACTATTTCGCTTTTGCTTTATATCATCCTTTTATTTTTAT